CTTTAACAGAATATTTTCTCACATCCAATTCTAGTTGTGTTGGATGTGTTTTTTTGAGTTTGGAACCAATAAGTTAAGATTGATAAATATTTTAAAAAAGGAATATGGACAATGACATACGTAAATGTACAAGCCTTTTCTCTCGCAGTGATCTTTGCATTATTGCATAGTTGTAGTGCTTGATGATACTAAACACCTTCCATGGAAGCTGCTTCTGTGCTGCAGCATGAGAGACAGACACCTGTTTTGATAAAGGTGACATCAGCCAGTCAGTGTGAGATCAGTCTCTGGGGGTTTCCATGTGTTTGTTTGTGTCCCTGCATTCTGAGATGCCCCACAGCAAGTCTAGGCCCAGACCCAAGATCTTGTTTACGTCCCCAGAGTGGAGCCTTTGCACTCTGACTAATGAGAAGCCTGCCCCTTCGTTGGTCCCAGAGGAGCTCGTGGCTCAGCCAGACAGTGACCTGGCTCACACACACCAGATGGAGAGAAACATGCTCACTCAGATGATCTGCCAGACATCAAAGGATGAGCCAGAGAGAGAGAGAGAGATAATGCATGTGTATTGAGTCTGCCTAAGTCAGCATGCTTTTTTTTTGGCCCCTGTAATTGTTCAGCAAGGTCTATGATCTCTGAAGCATCTGTATGCACAGAGTATACAGATATCGATGGAGTTCTAGGAAGTGGCATCCCCACAGCGTGACTAGCATCTTGATACACAGAATATACTGTACAACGATCATCATGCACTTGCACTTAGCTTCGCTCAGCATAAAGAATGGAAATAGGGGGAAACAGCTAGCTTGGCTCTGTCCAAATAACATGTTATATTTCATTTGTTTAATCAGTACAAAAACCAAAGGGTAAAAGTGACACAGTTTAGTTATGTGTGGGGCTCTTTTGTGTCTGGGAGCAGGCAACCAGTGGAGACCAGAAGTTACTGCTCCTAGCCAAAACATATTCTGGCACATATCTCCCCATAAAACAGTGAAGTTTTGTTTCTTACACTTTGCTTTTTCTACTGTTTAGACAAACGAGATGTTAGTTAGTGAGCTTTAGTGGTGCTAGTAGGTGGATTTTCTTATACCCTTGAACAGAGCCAAGCTAGCTTTTCCCTTGTTTCCAGTTTTACAGCTAAGCGCTTAGCCAGCTGCTAGCTCCAGCTACATATTTAGTAGAAAGACATGAGAACGGTATCATCTTAACATCTAACTCTCAGCAAGAAAGTGAATAAGCAAATTTCTTAAATATGTTAGACAAAATGTATTGAACTCAGCCCATCTGGGTGTGTGTACTGCTCCTGCTGAAGTCCCTTTTTTATACTGTAACTTACCGTATTGAAGCTGGTAGCTAGTACTCTGCAAACTAGTTTCACAATAGGGATAAATTACTCCACCAAATGATTGTCTAATCGTATCTTAAGTACCCCCTAAAACAAATCTCACATACAGCTTTGGAAGATTCATTCTGACATTTCATTTCATTCACCTCATTTTGAGAGTAAGCTGAGCAGAGCTTTCATTGCCTCATCAATTACCATGCAATTTCCTCTCCAGTTAATTAACCAGCCAGTGGTTAAAGAGAGTGTCTTTCCTGCACCTGAGCGGCAGTTGAATTACTCTCACCGCTTGTTTGATCAGCTCCTGAGTAATGAGCTTTAGAGAATAAGTTGAGGGAACAAGAGCATCATATTTGTTGTAAGCTCCAGATCACTTTCTGAATGTCACTTACTCGTGACATTTGATGGTGTATTACAAGATTTTAACGGATTGGTTCTCTGCCACTTTTTTGCACATTCCTGTTGAACTGCTTTGTTTTCCAGTCACAAGTTGTATTAGTTGCTCTCGCTGTTGTGTTCAATGGTCTGTACTTAATGTGTGCTGTTTATGTGCAGTATATCTTCAACACAACAGTCAATTCTATATGGCTTACAGTATGTTCGACCACTGGTTGTTCTTGATAGTGACGAGTCAGTTCTCTACCTGCAGTCTGGTTATTTATCTGCATACCATTACTTGAATTGCTTTAATTTGCCTGACTTCTATGGTTATCCATCTGCCAGCCTGCTGGTTCATAGGACAGCACTGTGCTTATAATTGAAACCCTGGCGGTATTTTCGAGGTTGCGCTCACAGTCTTTGTCTCAGATTATGGCTTTTCTGTTATTATATAGCAAATTTTCTGTGCATTTCCAGCTGAGAACCTTTCTTTCTGAGTCTGCAACGCTGAGATGTTATACAGCAAAGTGAGAAATAGAACACTTACATGTTCTTCATGTGTACATATGCTGTGTTTGTATCCTTGGTCTGTCTTTGTTCATGCTTCTTGAAAATCTGTCTCTGTGTTTCTCTCTTTTCACATTATTACCTGTTTTACTATTCAGATTGCAGAGTTTTTCTAAACTAAAGAGAACACTACAGATTTAAAAGGCAGTAACACAGTTTTCTGACTTGGCCTGTAAATAGATTGTGTAAGAGTGTAATGCAGTCTACTTAAAAAAAGTGATCTGTTTAACTGTGACCAGCAGCAACTATAGTGCCCTTTTGTTTGTTAGTTAGATGATCCCAAAGACATAAGATACGTCCAGTGGTCTAAAAAGCATAGCATGTAGTGATGCTTGTGGTTGGAGTTTGGCTGGAGAACTCTGATGTTTCATTCTTCTGTTGTATTATTTGCATGTTTTCCCCAGAATTTGTAATGCCTTTTCTTATTAAATTGTGGCCCTTGTCGCTGCTTTCTCCGCTGTTGGGGAGGGTCTAGACAGACAGGTACTATGTCCATAAAACACAGTGCTTCCAGCTGTTTCTTTGCCCGCAAAGAGGCTACGTAAAACTAAATATTGCCTCCATGTATTTGCTATGAATCAAAGAAGTCCTTCTATTAATCTTGTCAATCTTTTTATTTAACAGTAGACATGTCTGAAATTCCCACAGGGAAAGAAGGGCAGACCATCAACAGCGCTGTAAGCTTTAGTTTATATATAAAAGATAAGTTTACAATACTGAGAACTCATGGCAAGGTTATATACTGGAACATAAGCAGGCAGAAATAGCCTGACTGCAATAGTTACGTAGCAACATTAATGCTGTGGGAAACGTCCAGGGTCAACAGTTTTATATTTTTAGTAGAGCTAAGGACTAAATTAAGAGCAGTTGTGCAGGAACAGTTGGTCAGGTGACTGGAGGTTATGGGAACCAGGGTGACCGGTGGACAGGCGAGAAATTACAGTGTCCTGAGGGTAGAGAGAAAGTCCATGCCTGTACCACCCAAGACAGAAGCAACGCTTTTAAACATGTGATTTAGCCGTATGCAGAGCAAAAGGAGGAATGTTTGTACCAAGGCGTTGTATTATTCTTTATTATTTTTTAAATCTTAGAACTACATCTGTTGCTGCTTGACAGTTTAGAGGGAGAGCAAGACAGAGACAAAGGGGATGAAAATACGATACGATAATATGATGCCCATCCATCTTTCAGTCTATTATCTATGCCCACTTATCCTTTAACAGAGAACTAAGGGCAAGATGATGCTATGTTGAGAAATAAACTTCCACAAGCACTGTCTACTTTGCAAACCATGCATTCGCTCATTTAGCAAATAAGCCTTTTAGTTAGTGTTCTCAAATGACAAAAGCCACATCACTAAGCATCACTAAGTGCTGGAGTTTTACAGGCGTTGAGCATTGTAACAGCAAGCCTTGGTGTCGGATCTTTCTGATCTATTGAAAACAAAGGTCCTGGAAGATAGTAGACATTGTCATTAAGCAAATAAACCATTTGATTAAAGGAAATAAATAAATGTTAAAAAAGGGACAGAACGATCTTGTTGGTGGCAGTTACATAAGCTGCAGTGTGAACAGAAAGATGGGGGATGTGCTAAAGCAACATCTGTGAGCAGCGTCTTAGAAAATCATTAGTGCAGTGCACAAAACAGCAGTCAGCCGATTGTCTTTGGGTTCCTCCACACACTTGAAAACCACAATAAAGTGCCAGTTTTTGCATCCAGTAAAAGAAAGTCCATTATCTGATGCCAATGAATCTGTGATACATTTACTTGAAAATGAACTTAAATCTCAGTCAGTTGCTCTACAGCCTACAGCGCATGTCATGCCAAAGCTTGACATCTGCTGTGTCTTGTTGCCGCGGCCTCTGGCATTGTGTTTGAAACTCCACACTGCAGCACTGAGCTTCAAACAGAGGCCATGTGGGGTTAGAGAAAACATTTTTATGGTCCCTTTCTCGCCCATTGTACAGGTATGTTGCTTTAATTCCAGCGAATAGCAGCCTCATTGATTTTATTTTGGAGTATCTTGTTGGCTGTGTATCAGGAGAATGCTACTGAAATAAAGGCAAAGGGAGGATTTTTTTAATCTCAGATCAGCTGTGCTCGCTTTGCTTGTACCTGGATCAGCTCAGGACATTTCTATAATTAACATTTCCCTTATGAGAACAAGAATGTCAAGTCCCGTTAACACTACACATTAGGGCTGGGCGATATGGCCAAAAATGTTATCACGATAAAACATTTTCCTACCATTCGATATTGATAATTATCACGATAAATGTCAAATCATTATTTCCTTCAAGTTTAAAGGCTGATTTTTGCTCCTCAGTGAAAGTTGACGTAACCAGATGGTTATTTGTGGTTTTAAACAATTATTTATGGGCAGAACATGACAAACACTTGAAGCTAAACAGTGGATCACTTCACAAATCTGAGGTAACACATTCAAAACTATCATGATAAAATCTTGTTTTCAAAAAATGAGTAGTTTTTTTCAGTCCCTTTTCCTCAACAAAAAAAATATCATAATAGAAAAATGAAGTGCTAATTTGTGCGTGATTCAAACGAGTTAAAACAAACATTTATTGACGATATATTGAACATTTGTTAAAATGTTATTAAGGAAAATTACATTGCGATAATTATCATTATTGTTTTATTGTCCAGCCCTGCTACACATTACTACAACTTACACAAACACATTAACGAAAAGACAGATTATTTTGTTTGTCCATGCCCTCTAGAGACTGACACTAAGTGTTTTCTGATCAAGGCAGGACAACATTATTTGTCTGTGCCTTTGAAAAAAGCAGATTAATAGCTGATGTAGCCTGTAATTCTACAAACAATACAGTTGATATAATTAAAATAATACATTCTGGACTGATTCCGCTCCATATTTGAAAAACTTATGTCTTACATACAGTCCTTAAATCTTGAAACTAAATTATAAAATGTGGAGTTTGGAGATCTGCTATTCTACAAATGATCTTGTTGTATAAACTTTTTGTAAATTTTCAGAAAAGCACATAAGGTAAGTTAACAATTAAGGGTCGCAGGGGGGCTGGAGCCAATCCCAGCTGACATTGGGCAAAAGGTGGGGCCACACAGACAAACAACCGCTCACAATCAAGGGCAATACCTAAGGACAATTTAGGGTAACCAATCAACCTAGCCTGCATGTCTTTGGATGGTGGGAGGAAGCCGGAGCACCCGGAGAGAACCCACGCAGACACGGGGAGAACATGCAAACTCCACGACCTTCTTGCTGTGAGGCGACAGTGCTAACCACCGCACCACCGTGCCGCCCTAAATCCTGGTGTTGTGAGATTTAAATCATTAATGAGGGTATCAGGACAATAAGGACTTGGACATGGCATTTAAACACTGTCAATACTGGCTACACATCTTTCCAGCATTACATTTAATACATACCTGATCAACTGCTTGTTCGAATCGTGACTGGAATTTCAATTGAAATAATAAACGTTTGTCCACATAGGTTTGTAGAGATGGACAATGGAGTTGTCAGACTTGCATGGACTGCACTCCCACCTGTTAAATGGGAAGGTAACATCATTCACCTTATCAGAACAGGAAACTCTTAATTGCCCGCACCCCACCTCCTCTCTTCAAGTCCCTTAAAACCTTACTTTCTGTCAACATCCTGTATAAACGAAGAGAAACAATGGCCACTGAGAATAGAAGCTGTGCTGACACATTGTGAATGTGTCATTAGAGTTATGGGGCAGGTGTTAACAGAGATGCAGCATAAGAAGAGGAGCGGCTGGGTATGCCACATCAAAATGTCATCAGTGTATCAGGACGCATTGTGGTGTTGGGTTGTACATGTGATCAGACTGTATGTGAGGAGTGACGTGGATCAGTCATTTGCTATATTCAAAATTACACTGATTCCCCAAGGCAGTTACTACAGAAGAAAAAATGCAACTTCTAACTGATCACAGCATGAAAACATCCATCTCAACAAGTAATTTATGCAGACGCGGGTGGGAAACAAGTGCGTGTGCCACCGATCAAAATGTTTCCATTAGCAAATCAAAGCAAGAGATTCAACCGATTCAGTCAATGAGCTGCACAATTATCATGAAAGTGTTCGCTTTCAAAGGGTAATAAGGAGACGCTCACTCCATACTCCACTAGCATAAACACTCAGCTCCAACATCACCAAGACGCAATTACAGTGTAAAGTTTAGAGCTCTCTCTGCACACAGTAAAAAGGCTGTGTGCAAATTGTGAATCCTGCAGAGTATCGATATTTTATTTTGACCATAACACACACACACACACACACATGCATGAGCATACCACAATAACAGATACAAGTGTCCCTGGTTGCTATAGGAACATCAGCAGCTCACAACTGATTAGAAAGCTCTTTGATGATGAAGTGACCTTCTGTATATGCGCAGTGTGCACACATGTGTCAGGTTTGAGTGTGAGGGTGTGTCTGTAGATTAGAGCCTATTTGACCCACACAGCCGTTTAATTTAACAGAGGAAGAGATTTCCACAATTAATAACACCGGTTGTCATCTCACATTCAGGTATTTTAATTACAATATTTACGCAGCTTTAATGCATTTTGAAAGAGCTGAAAATCTGCCTGAAAAACAGCTGTAGAAAATGGGTCTGTGTAGTTACAATGTAGATTGTTCAGCACTTTAGCACGGCGGTGGAAACTCATCCGACACACCAGATGGGCTGAGTATGTGTGCATTTATGTCTACTTTGACTTTGTAAAACTTGGTGTGTGTGTTTGTCTGTGTGTTGTTGTAATTTGTTGTATTTTAACACCCATACAGAAGTTAGCCAGGTACATACATCAGACACTGGGTGGAGATAGACTCTCAGCACAGTGGGGGCAAAGCTTCATCACAGAGCCCACCTGTCATTTATACAATGTTTACGTGACCCCAGACTCACTCCGGAAGTCCACTGAGTCATTATTGGAAGCAAACTGCATGCAGCTCCTCATGCCCGGCTGTGTCTTCTATCAAATGACATACCTGGGCCCATGCATCATGCTATCTCCGCTTATGATCAGACACCATCAGAAATCCTTTAAAAAACACTTCCTCTCCCTTTCTGAGTGACTCAGATATCTGTAAGGAACACACAATCACAACATTCCCATCAAGTCGACCATGTTTTTTTCTTTCGAATGTAATCAGCCTGATTGAGAATACTGAAGTTATTTACAACTGTTCTCTTCTGTTTCTCCAATCTCCTAACTAGTAAATCTCAGCTTTTCAAAGATGGTTCCTGTGATGGAGATGTGTCACTCAGAAAATTGGCTGTGCTTAACTTGAGAGTGCTTGTGCATAACAAACTAAGATAGAAAGAAGAATGCGTTACCAGGAGAACTTCTTCGACTTAACTTATGTCGGCAAGCATGTGCACAAAGAGTTGGTAAAACTAAATTGGACAAGCTTTTACAAAACCACCCACTCAAAAGGAATGAAAAGCCTCTCATTTTGTGGAACATGGAGTGATTACGGCATTCTTCACATTTCATGTTTTCCTTTTCCACAAAGACTTTCACAATATTTTTTTCGTGTGTATTTCTCCATGCCTGGTTTCTCTGACTCAGCGTTCCTGGGCTGCTGGTTAGTGCCATGGGTGCAGGTGGCCAGCAGCATGGCTCCTCTTCTCTCACCCTCTGGCGCCTGTTGCTTTTGTCAGCAGACCCCTGTGATCTGGAGTTATTCTCTGTTCTCCAAATTACTATTTAATTGCAGCTCCTTTCATTTTGTTGTTATGTTATATATTAGCTCTGCTCATCTTTCACCACTAGACAAACATAACACATGGTGACCTTGTGTCCAATATTATATTCTCTTTGTGTTCACATGCACATACACATGTTAGTTTGTGTCAGTTTTGGAGGGATTTTCATTTACATACACTGTTCTTGTGTGACAGCTATTTTTGGCACAGAGGTCATGGACACTGATCTCATAGTAAAACAACATTGGCTGACTGCCTGTGAAGATCATGTGTGTGTCTGGTTGTATGTGTGTGTGTTTTGAGAGGGTGCTATAAAATATTTCTGCAGCTGTTGTGACATAAGACTCCCGATTGTATATCAACAATAAACACAGTTAAAAAAGACAAAAAAGAAACAATTTAACTATGTAGCCTACTTAATAATAATAATAGCAATAACCATAATAGAAGCACAAAAAGCAAGGACAACTAACCAAATTAACAAGATCTGAACAAGTCAGCAAAACTAGGCAGGCAAAATGTTCTTATTCTGAAATGCTTCATGTGGATGTAGCCATGCAGCGAGCGGAGAGCGGTTATCTGTAGTTAAAGCACACAGAATGACAAATTAACAACATGTCAACAACTTAGGGCAGGCTAAACGCTCCACCGCTGAAACACTTGAGTGTCAGTTGAACGGGTGAAGTTGAAACGGGTCAGATGGAAAGTATCTCAGTACAATACAGTATAGATACTGTATAATTAACCTATAGACAACCTATATGTAATAAACAAAGAAAGAAGGAAGAGGAAGTGTAAAACTATGAGGATGTGAAGAGATGTCAAAGTATGAGGAAGAAAACAAACACAAAGCATCATGTGTTTTATGAAACATTTGCATCGAGCACAGTCAACCTTGAGAAGTCTAACTTTTCTTACAAAGAACACAAGAGCTTTGACCGCACACAGACTAGAAGATATGTACTTCAAGATGTTGCTTGTTTTCTCAGGAGCAGTTTGCATCTATGGACAAAGTAAGTATGGCTATTTACTAATAATTGTTTTGATTGATTGATTGATATCTTTATTTCGAACATGTAAAAATCTTTCCTTTTGTATAAATATAAAATAGGATCGAATGTCTTACCAGTGTAAACAGTTGTTTCTGAATTCATATGTGGATTGTTACATTTTTCTAGGAAGTTATGAATTTTGTTACACCTATGGATGCTCTGACTCAAGCGAATCTCAATTCTGTGCGACAATGGATGGTGATGAAGTATGCTATGCAGACTTTAAAAAAGGAGTCCTTTTTTGGGATAGCCGACTGCCTACAAGTTTACAGATTGCTGGAGCCTACGAATATGCAACACTCACACCATTTGCGTGCAGATATTTTTTAGATTTATGGAAAAAAGACAAGTCAGCTACAACAAAGACTAAAGGTAAGTGATACTCAACATACTGATGTTACATTCACTGTCTTCCTTTAACATAGATACCATATCCATTTGGCATGTTTTAACAAAAATATATAACATTAACAGAACACCATTTTATCATTATTATGTGTGAATTTAACCCTCAGAGGAACCAGAAATGATCATTTACCCCAGAGATGAAGTGAAAAAAGAGGAAGAGAACACTCTCATCTGCTTCATCAACCATTTCTTTCCTCCCTACATCAACATAAAGTGGACCAAGAATGATGTAGAAGTAGCAGAGGAAGATCCTTTCATCAGATGCTTACCCAATCCTGATGGGACATTTTATGTTTTTTCCACTCTGGACTTTGTCCCAAAGGAAGGAGACATCTACAGCTGCACTGTGAAGCATGACTCACTGGAGACGCCTCAGACCAAGTTTTGGGGTGAGAGACTTAATATTTTGTATAGGGTGACCAGATGAGAATGGGGAGGCGTGGCTACCAGTACATTTAGTGTCAATGAACATTAACACACATGAAAGTCAAAACACGACGACTGGTCACCCTAGTTTTGTAGTATCTTAATATTCTCCTGACTGCTCTGATAGATATGTAGAAGTCGATGAAATGAAATAAGATTTGTGTTTTTAACTTCAGATTTTAATTATTTTTCTCTTGTTCTCCCCAGAGGTTGAAACAAACGAGATCAGTATAGGTCCATCTGTCTTTTGTGGGCTTGGCCTGAGTCTTGGACTTCTTGGAGTTGCTGCAGGAATATTCTTTTTTATGAAAGCAAACCGGTGTCCAAGCCTCCTGGAGGCCTAGGTTAAGACGTAAACCTTATCCAGCACTGTGATCACATTGTCCCTGGTTTGTTTGTCGAGTGACATTTGTTTCATGTCATCCTCCTTTCTCTCTTCACTTGTTTCATGATACCTTTCAACTGTCCTCTGCCAAGTCATGTCTCTATGCTAACCTTTTTACCTTAGGAGCACACAAAGACATTTAAGTGCACAGTGAAAAATGTTGAAGTCACACAGTTTATTAAGAAACGAGTGAAATGAGTGGAGGACTATGGAAATGAAGATGCTGGTATCTGGTATGGGAAAAAAATATTGTCAAAGCTTTTCAAAATATTGAAACAGATTTTTTGAAAATTTGATACATTGAAAATGCTTTTAAAATACTGATCACTCTTATGTTTGTGTATAATGAGCTGTCAAGCAGCCACAGATCGACTCGCCCATCCAATGTGATTAACATGTGAATTCATGCTTTGTCTGGTCTGTCCACAAGATGACAATCAAACAACTTTTAAAATGCTTGTTTTCTAAATGGCGTTCGGATCGACCACGGCTATCCTTTGCTTACTTGTTTCATAGAAGCAATCAAGTATTGGACACATATTTTACAAAAAACTTTAATTAAAAAGTTAACTGAATAAGATAAATAAACTCTGAGCTCATCCCACTGGTAAACAGCTTCATATTACAGCAGAATCCAGTCCGACTGCGGGTGTTTATTTGTCTCTCCTCCAGAGCTCCCTGTCACTCAGTAGCTGTAGAGCAGCGGCTGTGTCCGTCCGCTCTAGCCGCTCCTCTCCACACAACACTCTGAAAAGCCGATACAAGCAAGTGTTTTTTTAACTCAACTCGAATATTTTTTATTTTTTACCACCGCGAAATGCTCACGTTGCACATTACAAGTGGCTGTTGGACAGCTTATATTTTTTAATTTAAAATATTTCTACACGGCAGATATTTAGCTGCACCCTGCCACAAACTGCTCTCTGTTTATGACACTTGTGTGACAGGTAAAGCAAAACAAAGGATCTGGCTTTGGTTAGTGCTCAATGAAGCCGATACCATCAGTTAAAAAATGCCTTGATCAGCCTGTACCCCGATCGCTGATTGGGACAGCCGTAACATCTGTAATTCACTGATTTTTTTTCTTTTGTGCTGTTTTTCAAATTTTATTTAATTTTATTTGTGTTGTCACTTGTTTAAATTGATTGTGTTTATTGGTCATTGGGTTTTTTTTATACCATTTTTAACTCAATAAATGTCCCCAATTGCAACTGAGTCATTGAGCATTGACTGTAGGAGCATATATAAATGTGTATTAAGCTTAAATAACTACCTTACAACGAAGTTTGATAACTTCTTTTCCACCTAAACTATCATTTGCAATGAGGTCCCTCAGAGCCGTATTTTGGGTCATATCCTCAGACTACAGTATTAACTTATCTTGGACAAATCATTCAAAGACAGTTCATTCCTTTTTATGCTGATTCACCACACACTGTTTTGTTTCATTTCAGTGCTACAGTACATGATTTTAAATGTTCTAGAGATTCTTCACAGTGGCAGTTTAAGTGTCTTGATTTCACGGCATAGTATGACTGCCATTAGTTTACTGCTAAAGGTTGGGTATTAATGGTTGTGTTTTTGGAAAATCAGACTTTTAAGACGAGCAAGCATCAGTGTTAGGAAAAGATGAGTGAGAACGTCATTCCTTGCATGAAATAAGTCTCTGTTCAGAGTATCCCAAAAATAATTTGACCAAGAATTAGCGAATTTTTTCAAACAAATTTGCTGCTAGACAATAATGTAACTTTGATACAAAAGACATGCAAATTACAGTAATGTTATAGACATGAGCGTCTCTGAAACTGCCTTCACCAAAAGTCTTAAGGCCAATTTATATTTGTGCCCCATAGGCACGTCCCTAGCCTGACGCGCACCTCCCCAAAAGTGGAGCTAATTAGCAGAGTTTCAGGAGCGGGACCACACATCAATCACATCATTGCCAGCATTTCCATAAATATCCACACGTTACATCTCCTCTTCTTTGCTCTCGCATTCTGCATCCCCCCACCCCCACCCCTTTCTCTGTCCTGATCTCCTTCTTCCAATAGGAAAATCTGGGAAATCTTCCCGATAGGGAAATCTGCACGACGTGCCCAGGTGCTACGGCTTGGTGTTACGGCTTGTAGCTTCCCCACAACGTTTTTGAATGTCTATTCAGCAAATGCAAGCCTTGTAAATCTTTCTGTTTCGATCATCAATAATTATTTAATCGTATCTGTTGATTGTGTGGTCCTTGCTAGTGAAATGTAACTACTGGTTGCGGCAACACAGACATCAAGAACTGTGATTGGTAGGCTTATTTCCCCCTACATATTTCTGGCTTGTCCTTTTAGCACTTCAACCGGTCTGGGCAAAGAGGTGGGTGTATTCTTTCATTTTGTTGACATTTCAGTGTACCTGTACCTGTGTTTATTTCCTGTATCTGTGAACACATAAAAGCTCCACACCACAACAGCTTTGTTCCTGTAGTTACCTACTCGTGGGACAACATGTGCAGTCACAGTTTTCTTTTCTGTGTGGTTTTCTCTCTTTTCAGTCCAGGTGAGTTACATTACTCCTCTATTTGTATGCATCAGTGAAATGTTTTAGTTTTAGTTATGATATAGTAAAAAAATATATATGAATACATTTCTGTCTCTCATATTACAGTTTTCTCGGACGAAGATTATTCACAAATCAGAGCATGCTGTACATTCAGGGGTCCAGGCTTAGAAGATGTAGAGTATATCATTACAGATACTTTTAACAAGAAATTAATGATCCAGTACAACAGCACAAGAGGCAACTGGACAGGATTCACAGCCTCTGCAATCGGAATAGAGCCATCTTGGAACAGTGATCCCGATGACGCAAGACAAAGACAATTTGAAAAGAAATCACTGTGTCTTGACATCATAGATTACATCCAACAAATAGGTAAGAGCATTTTTCTTAAGATTACTTAAAACCAAATGTACTATATGGATTTTAAAGAACTGTTGTCATGCACATAGACTTATTTCATGGCTGACATTTTTCCCATGAACAAATATTTCACCACAGACTCATCTTTGATACATGACAATATGTATATCTGATCAAAAAAGTTGCTATCCAGAAACAGAAATGGTCTATTGATGTTTTACCCAATAGAAGATATGAAACAATAACTTGTTTTTTCAGGTAATCTTACAGCTGTACCCACCATCAAGCTGAATTCAATGAAGCACCCACCCATGCTTGTGTGCAGTGCCTATAACTTTTATCCGAAACAAATCCGAGTAATGTGGTTGCAGAACGGGCAGGAAGTGACCTCAGGTGTCAGTTCTTCTGAAGTGATGTCTGATGGGGATTGGTATTACCAGATTCATTCCTACCTGGAGCACACCCCGACTACAGGAGAAAAAATTACCTGCGTGGTCGAACACTTCACCCTCTCTGAACCAGCGCTTCACGTCTGGGGTAAGTGTGCAGCTGTGATGCAAATTTTATGTAGGATAAGAAATTGGAAAATGTATAAATAAAATCATCTTTTTCTCACAATTTTAGACCCCTCCCTTCCTGTGCCAGAACGATTAAAATTGTAGTGGGACTGTGTGGTCTGATGCTTGGTTTTGTGATTGTGAGCTCTGGATTCATCTACTACAAGAAAAAGTCTGCCGCATTCTCCACTCTCTACCAAGGTGAAGAAATAAGAGGAAATTGATCATTGTAAAGTTAATTGATTGTAAATGGAATTCACTTCTACAATACTACTGTTATATATTTTCTACTGTGGTAAATTATTGTTCTACTCCTCATTTTAACAGAACAAGGGTCGATTCCCGTGGAACAACTCCCTGCAGCTGGAGCAACTTAGCAGTCTGAACAAACACCATTTTTCAGCACATACCATCTATATGATGATATGATGTGATGGTTATTCTCATAATTGTCACTATTGGGTGTAGGGCTGAACGATTAATTGCATTTTCTAATGGCAAAGGCTGCGATTACGTGCGACAGTAAAGCAGTCCCTTGACTTGTTGTTGTACAATGGCTTTAAGCTTGACAGAAGCTGACACTACAGAAACTTTAGTGTCACACAGGGAATGAAAGTGGCACCCGCCAACCGCGGGTAAATTGGTGTTGTTGGTGGGTGAAATCTTCTGGCCAACCGCCGCTTTGGTGGACAGGACAAATGTACAACAGAAAGACACATGTAGTAAGATAAGCGTATTGTGGTGATCGGCGCCTGTGTCACACACACAGCCACCAGTCAGCTCAGTAACTATCTTTGTAACGGCGTTTCAAACCAAACTCACAAGTCCCGTCTGTCCCGAGTTACAGCCTGGTTACAGCCTACTGCTTACCTGCATCGGAGGCTGCGGGGGAGGGCGGGGGGACTCCGGTGTTGTCGGAGAATTACTAAGCTTGTCTATTAAAGACGAGAGGCGTCACTTGGTTTTATTTTCGTTGGCCAACTTTTAAATTGAACCTCAAACTGAGTGTTTTTTGAGGTTTTTGATTAGAGATGGACTGAGATAAGGACCTTAATTGGTGGTTGTGTATAATGTTATATCATATTATTTAATGCCATGACTTGACTCTCAAATTATCTTTCTCATATTATAATAATTTGATACTTCTTCTCCACCATTGCTCATAATAATAATTCATGCAATTAAAGCATCACCTAATTTCATCATAAAACAGGCCTGGCCTACAAGAAAGAACAGTGTATGTTTAATCTGTATATCTATCTATCTAAAACATGTCTAATCAATAAATCTATATTTTATTCAATCATCCTGATGAAGCACATTAAAATAATGACAATAGTAGCAAATCTTAAAATGAAATTTCCACGTCAATGCTGTGTTGTGATAATAACAATAACAGACATTAATTAGGCTACATTACTTAAGACTTTAAATGTTTCTGACATGGATTAATTTCAATATTGAGTAATACATAAAATATGAAACGACCGAACATTAGATGACACGCGGTGTAACGTTACGTTACCATGACAGCAGCAGGACAGAAATTACTTTTAGAAGGCAATAAACGTGTCCTCGTGCTGATAATGTGCAGCGCTTGTGTGGCGACAGAAAGTAAACACGACGACGTCTTGTAGCAGGAGCTTGTGGGAGAATCCCACCGGATGCAGCGACGCGTCGTTGCGCATTACGTGCGTCGACGCGTCGTATTTACGTAACCGATTACGTCGACGAATCGTCCCAGACCCAATTAAATCGCAATTGCAATGTTGGTAAAAAAGAAAATCGCAATTAGATTATTTTCCAAAATCGTTCAGCCCAAATTGGGTGGTGGGTGGGGCTTTACAGAAGGAAGATAAGATTTATGGAAATAGTGAAACTGACATGTATTCATTGCTGCTTATCAACTTTCTCAACTGTAAGAACACTGTCACAAAATAAAGTGTTTGCATTAAATAAAATCTGTTTATTGACATGTTGGCCTGTTCTTCCCCGGAGTTAATGAAAGAGCAGTATTGGGCCAGGCAGTCATGTCATAAGGAATCAATATGAATTAGGCTTAGTAACCTGCATATCTTTAATAACTTAACTTTCTCTAATTGTTTTAGAGTAGTGTTTCTCAACATGGGGGAGCCTCCAGCTGTGAAGGGAAGTGTTTCAGTGTCCATGAGCATCAGTGAGCACCCTTCTTCTGTCATCATTGATCAAGTTGCACATTGTGAGCCAGGCTGTAGGCTGGTGTTACATTCAAGATACAATTTTGTTTATTAGTCATTATACAGCACAAGGCTGTATAACAAAACGAAATTTGAAGTTCCTTCATGCTACCCAGACACACCCGCCGTGGTGCATGGTACGGTTGTTTGGGCCGGGTGGATTGTGGTCTGCTGCCCTTTAATCCAAAAACCCCTCTTCATCTTCCAATGACTGTATTTTGGCAATAAAGCCAGAAAAAAATTATAAAAAACAAAACTGTAGCGAAGACCTATATGGTCCACAACTGCACTTCAAAGAAAGAGGGCTGCACGTCAAGGCCTTAAATAATCAGAATGATTTACCATAGTTATTGAATATTTGGATTTGTATGCTGTAAAGCATTTTGGATCAATTGTATTGTGTGAGAAGTGCTATATAAATAAACTTAAGTTGAGATTATTTTTTAAATTTACAAAAACAACTGCCTTCACCTTCATATTGAACTTAATAGAAATATCAATAAAATCTTCTGTCTCACTCTCTCTCTCTAAATATATATATATATACACACACACACATATATATATCCATATATATACAGTATATATATATATATTTAGAGAGAGAGAGTATATATATCCATATATATACAGTATATATATATCTATATATATATATATATATATATATATCCACTGAAGTTATCGTCAAGAACTTTGAGGTTTTAAATTATTTGCCTAAATTATTTGTTTTCAATTATTTGCCTCTGTAAAACAGTTTACAAAATCAAGGCATCAAATATAATGAGCTACAGTGTAGTCATCCATCGTCAACCAGGGGGGCTGGAGCCAATCCCAGCTGACACGGGGCAAAAGGTGGGGTACACCCTGGAAAGGTCGCCAGTCGATCACAGGGCCACAAATAGACAGTCAACCAAATTCACGCCTAAGGACAATTTTGGAGACACCAATTAACCTAGCCTGCATGTCTTTGGATGGTGGGAGGAAGCCAGAGCACCCGGAAAGAACTCAGGCGGACTCGGGGAGAACATGCAAACTCCACACACCGGGGTTTGAACCCATGACCTTCTTGTTGTGAGGCAACATTGCTAACCACTGCACCACCACGCCACCTGACTATCCACCTACAGTTTAGATAACTAAACTGTGAGATTTGTGTTCCATTATTAATTTTTTTATATGAAATAGTTGTAATGCAAGAAAATGCCGAACTAGTTTACAGGGTGTTTAACTGAAAATTTCACATTTTTTAAGAAAGCTGAATAATTTGGTACAAAGCTTTTGCCATCATAATCCCAGATATTCTCTCCATATTGATTAAAACAAATCATTTTAGACTTGATTCTCAAAACAAGAATGTACTGTATGCTAGTAATATGTTTGTTTATTTTTAAAACTAAACCATATGGACACAACAAAAAGTAGTGTCACACGTCATTGCTTGACTAAAATGAACATTTCCACTGAATGCAGTTTTGTACAGTGTTAACTGCTGTGTTTT